TGCTGCACATCATTGTCATAATAGGTCACCTTAGAAAATAGTATCTGAAGAAATGGACTCACTCGCTCTCCTTCAGGTCCCAGTTGCCCTACTTCTCCAGGAAAGCCAATGAAACCCTTCAAATAAGCAAACAACCTTTATATTATTTCATTAGAATGTCTACTTTACAAGTAATTCTAAGTAGAAATATTTAAACTAGTCTTCATAGAAGTACAAACATGTAAGTTTAAAAGTATAAATGGGAAAACCTTGCCCTGGTGTTATTGCTCTCCTTCCAGAAGTTATAGATTAATATTTTCATTTTAAAACAGGGGAATGTGGCTAATAAAATCAACAAGATGAAATCCTTTCATTAGCAGAACTTTATAGTGGACAGAAAAATATATATGTAATGAATTAAAATGTAAGTCAGAAATGGATATAGCAAAAGAATGCAAGTACAGAGAAAGAGGAGATTCATTCAAATGTGGTAGATATACAAATTTTAAAGGTTTCAAAGGAGTTTAGCAATTGAGTTTTGCCTTAGCATACAGGTAAAATATTGATAAGCAGGATAGAAAAGTAACAGAGGCAAAGTATTAGAATAAGCATAGCCATAACAGAGTTTCAAGAAATGTTTGTAAATGATAACTGACCACATTTTATGTCTAAGGTGCTTTTATGGAAAATCAAAAGCCCATTCTGCTCCCAAGAAGAGTTCCTATCTGAGAAACCATGCAAGATTCTCCATCCTAAAGTACTTAAAGTAATTTAAATATATAAAGTACTTGAATATATTTCACCTGTTGCAAAGAATAACCTTTTCATATTCAGGAACACCAAGGATTGCCTATACTAGATAAAGAAGGGCCTTCCCCTAAAGTTAGAGCCTGTATTGAGTCTCCTACACTACAAGAAAATTAATTTGTCCTTTAAAGTCAGTCAATTGTAATGTTTCTGTTAAAGCAATACTAGATCAGGAAGATTATGGGTGATAAAGTTGAATATGAAAATGAGATCCCTCAAGAAGGCATCATTTATTCGGAGAGAGGCACTGAAGAGTAAATAACTGTTGTGGTGTATGATGATGATCGCAGTAGGAATACAAGATGCAAATGAAGCGTAGGCCAACCAACCACCCAGAGAGCAGATTTCGAGAAGCTCCATAGAGGAGACGACTTTGAGCTGAGTCTTGAAGGAGAGAAAAAAGCGTGACAACACTGCCAATCAATCATTCAAAAGGGACAAAAGAACATTTTCACAATTTGAAAAGATATCTATTGTTGGTAAGTCAAAAAATGAGTTTGAAAGGGTAGGAGGCGACTAAAAGCGAAATCTTTTTTGACACAACACAAAGTTTGGACTTTAAATATTAAATCATGTACAAATCATATAAAATCACAAAATTTAAAATTTAAATCATTAAAATTACTTATATATTTCAAAAATGTTTAATCATTTTATTGGGAGTCTTACAGATACCATAACATTCCATAGTTCAATCACATCAAGCAGTATTGTACAATTGCTATCACTGTCAGTTTCAAAACATTTCCTTTCTTCTTCAACTCCTTTATATTAGCTCCCCTTTATACCTACTCCCCCCAACCCACCTCTCCAGCAACCCCCTTTTTTCCTCCAAAATACAGTAGTTTGTTTTGCCAGATCACCATATTTTCCATTTATAAAATTCACTGTGATTGTTTGGATCAATATGTCTGGGAACCTGTCTCAAAGGATAAAGCAAAGCTGATTCTAAGGCTTATGGAAAGCTTGGTAGGTACATGATAACCAGTGACAGAAATATGAAAATCCAACAAGGAACTTGAGTGTGGAGGACAGAGGAGGAGTGTGTCACTCAATTTGAGCATGTGGTGATGAGGAGGCATTCAAGTGCATTTCTCTTGGCAAAGAGTTAGGAGAGAGGGCTCATAGAGCAAAGTAAGATTTGAAGGTGAGATTAGTGGCACGCTTTTTTCTCTCCTTCAAGACTCAGCTCAAAGTCATCTCCTCTATGAAGCTTCTCGAAATCTGGGTAACAGGAAAAAAGAGTCATAGGTCCAGAGAAAAGCTAAGGTATGAAAGAATTTGAAGGAGAGATGTAGAGAGGACATTTTTATTAATTTCTGAATAAAGACTGCTTGTTTTGTATCAGAAAATGGGTATATTTCAGAGTTAATGCTTCTATAATAATAAAGATTAAGAGGTAATTCAGGTGATAAAATGTAAATGTCTCAGGAATCATTTCTAGATTGTCTAGAATGAGAACCTGGGAAGGAATTTATTTCCTGAAAACAAAGCTAATTCATTTTTGCCACAACATAAAAAAAATCACACTTTTTAGCAAGGAAAGACATCTTTTAAGTTCCCTTAAATTCTATAGATGGTATGAATAAACAAACAAACAAAACCTCATTTCCTTCTACTCAACTTTAAGAAATTACCCCTGTAGGTTTCTGAGACTGTAAATCTTTGTGGGAGCTGAAAGTCTCATCTTTCTCTCACTAAGTGAATG